TGTTGTAGAGGTGTTGGATTTTCTTGTAGATTATGGAGATTAGACCTTTGTCTGACTTGTACTGTCCAAAAATTTTTTCCCAGTCTGTAGGTTCTCTTAAAAAAGTAGTTAATTTGCTTTTGACCACAAATGCTAAATAATAACATTACTGAAAGTACAAGAGTAGCGCAGGCAAAATTACCCATGTGTTTACCTCTATAACACAACTATTAAACTAGATGCCATTGAGTCATTCCAACTCATGACGACCCCATGTGTGTCAGAGTACAACTGTGCTCCATAGGGTTTTCAACAGATGATTTTCACAAGTAGATCACCAGGCCTTTCTTCCGAGATGTCTCTGGGTGGACTCGAACTTCCAAACTTTCTGTTAGCAGCAGATGCATTAACCATCTTATTCATAATTATAAGTTGTTTTAGTACAATTATAGTGTATAGGCAATGTGTATTACGATTTTTCCATATTATATCACAAGCCTTTTTACATGTTCCTAGATAGTCTTAGTTATAATATTTAATATTTAACCATTCAACTCCATGGACGTGAACTATGTGAATATCGCACACTTTAATGGATATCCTCATACTTCAATCTCATTATAGAATATTTAATTTCCTTTTGGTGTTTGCTTTAGCATTACAATAATTAATATTTGTGTTCATATGACTGATATTTGTGTTTATATCAATTGTTTAGAACTCCCATTTCTGTGGTTATAAAATTTTCTTTTACATTTTCCTACTCTAAGAAAATGAGAGCTTTTCATGTCCTTGAAAATCCAGGCCTGATTACAACTTCAGAAGTCTTTAAGCACAAAAAACAGTTTTAGATCCTGACACATTAAGTTCCACATCTTACAAAGGAATTGTTTCATGAATTGGGAGCCAATAGGAAAAGATGCCCTAAAGTCTTCTTTTACATACCTCCTACAGGGAGCAACAGGAGGTAGATTAATTGATCAGACTACAGAGTTTGGACCTCAGCACTAAATCCACCAACTGCAATAACTTTATCAACATATTTCTAAGCACCCTACTCTTCTCTCTCAACCGTACCTGTAAGCTCAGTAAATTGTGAACTCTGCCCCATAAGTGGAACTTAATCAAGGAACACTACTTATCTTTAGTCCCAATATAATTTCTTCCCAAATCTTCACCTCAATGATTTTGTAACATATTTAGCTTTACAGCCCTACCCCCATATGTGTACTTTTTCCAGAAAGCACATGAATTCTTCCACCACTACAGAAATTGGCAGTATTATTCTCTGTCCCAGATAAATCAGGCTATCTCAACTCTAACAGTTCTAGTAAAACCACAAATAGGACCCAAGACAGATCTGAGCTTCAGAATACAACCGTGCGTACCCTCCCCAGTTTTAAAGACTCTTCAGAACATATTATTGTATGACCAAAAGGGGAAAAAAACCCAAAAACTCCTTCTTTCAATATGGCATAAAGGAAAACTAAATTTAAAAAATATTATCATCAGCTAACAAATAGGGCAAAATGTTAACAGTAAATAAACCTGGGTGAAGGATACAGGTGATCTTTGTACTCTTCTTATTCTTACAGCTTTTCTATAAGTGTGAAATGATTTCCAAATAAAAAGTAAAAGAGTAAATCAAAACCCAGAAAAAAGTCACTTGAGAGGTTTTTCCACAGGCTTTATCAGAATCAAGGCCTTAGATGGTACACTGGCATCATCTCTCCAAAACATTCAAGTCCATTTTCTTTTAATTGAAAGGTAATATATAGCCCAGTGGCTACAGGGGTGGGCTCTGGAATAAAACTGATTTTTAGTTAGTTAAGGCTCAGCTACAGAAGAACTAAATATTTAAGATACCTCAGAAAACTCAACCTAAATTATTTAAGTCACTTATAAAGGCACACATTTGAGGCAATGGTGTGCTCAATCTCTTCAGAGGTTGTTTGGGTTATATATTACCAGTCCAAATACCAGGTGACTGGTGTTGTGTCTTTCTCAGGGTATCTATCACATCTGGAAGCAATGATGTCCATCTTTAAAAGCAAGTATATATTCTGCTTCTCATCTAAATTTCTCCCTAGATTTAGCCTTCATTGGTGACTTCTGCTTGAATCTATCTTTCCTATGCTGGTTGCAAAATAATAATTTTCTAACTCTAGTACTCCCTACACATTCATCAATCAGCACTCAGCATTTTACTATAAGCAAGAGCCCTCCTTTCTCCATTAACTGCCTATTTATTATCAGTATAGCATCACAGATTCATTTTTACTTTTCAATGATTTATTATTACTGTACTTGATTATCTTGGTGCTCAAATGGTCCCAGATTTGGCCAACGGAAGTCTTCAGCCTGGTCCCTATGTCCTTGTGACATGCTATCATTGTGGTATTCAAAGTATTATCATTTTAATTTCTATAGGATCTGTGGTGATTTATCCTCTTCATTCCTAATAATGGTAATTTGTGCTTTATTTTTTTTCTTGGTTAGTCTAGCTTAGGCTTGCCAATTTTATTAATTTTCAAAGAACAACCTTTTGGTTTCATATTCTCCATTATTTTTCTATTTTCAATTTCCCTGATTTCTGCTCATTATTTACTTCCTCTCATTTAATTTGGGTTTAATTTGAGCTTCTTTCTCTTGTTTCTTATGGTACAAGCTTAGATTATGGACTGGAGACCTTTCCTCTTTTCTAATGTAAGCATTTAATGTTATAAATTTTGCTCTAAGCACTGTTTTACCTGTATTGCTTCAAATGTTGCTATGTTTATTTTAAT